ATAGTTGTGTAGAACTCTACAAAAGTCAGCATCACTCTGAAGTCAACATCTGTTGGTGGCTGCAAAAAAAAACCAACATATGACCTCTACCTATGTAACAACAAGCAAGTCTTAACATGGCTGACACCATTGGTACACTCAATTAGTGTCCAGTTAACTGGTTTAAAGCAGACATGCTGGCCTCATGGTTAGTGTGCTGGACTCCTGGGTCAAGAAGTCCAGGTGTGAAACCTGGCCAGGTCAATCTATTGTGTTCTTGAGGAAGACACTTTACCATTACAGTGCCGCTCTCCACCTATGTACAAATGTGTACCAATGAATTGTCACAAAAGGCTGATGAAATGCTGGGGGGTAACATCCCATCCAGAGGAGAGGGGTGTGTATTAATACTCTTTGTTAATTTATGCTATGGAATCCAGAATAAGATCCAGCTGGATGCGCTACATCACTCAAGTAAAGACCTTCAAGATCTGAATGTTAATTCTCTTCTCTAGCTGCTACACATTAGTTATGAGAATTTTAAGTTAGATCAAGGTAACAACTGCTACCTGATTAGATTGAGTATTCTCATTACATATTTGCTGGGTAATGCTTGAATAATATGGGAAGACATTACTTGTTGATCACTTTTGGAAGTTAAAGAGTTCACCTTTTTTAACTTATTTAAACACAAGTCTACAATTGAAAATAAAAAAAAGAAAGTTACAGTTCAAAATAGTAACACAGGAAAAAGCTTCTAATATTACCTCTTGACAAAACTGGTAAGGAACAATCCATGTCACAGGTTGATCTTGGATTTCAGCTTGAAAATAGACTCCTTTTATTGACAGGAATACCTTTGAAAGAGATATCAATCTTGAGTAAGGAATACCAACACATGAGACCACAGGACAACAAAATTCTGTTAATAGAAGTTAACACTTTACAAAAATACCTTTCTTAGTGACTTAGATGCTATGATGTAATGCTGAAATTCAACTGCAACAAACACAGAAGTATCAGAATGACAAAGTGGTTCTTAATTAACTAAGCACAAAAATGTAAAGAAATTACTTTCATTTCAGCTGGGTTTTGGTTTAACTCTTTAGCCCTTGGAGTCATCGACATCTAATTTCTCCTCAGAGTAATACTTTTGAATCAGTCATTAAGATCATGAGAATAACAGAAATGATTGCCAACCTAAGAAACTCTTGATTGTTCAACAAATTCTCCTTGTCAGTACCAACTGATTTGTATAGAGAAGGGTATAGAGAATATGAATACTAATGTTAGGGTGTAAAGGGTTAAAAACTGCAGGTAGCCCATCCATTCACTCTTCCTTTTTTTTTTCAGTGAGACAATGTGATCACTAGAGTGGGGGTACTCACTTTGGCTATGATGACATTTTAACAAGAGTCAGACATTTTCAAACTTGAAAGTCAAAGCACCACATTTCATCTGTCATAATAAGTCAATAAGAACATTGTCTGTTAAAAAAAAAAAAAAAGTCACTTACCAGATAATCTTTTGCATTGTTTTACAACATCAGCCTGTCAATAAAGAATATGA